ACACATTTTTGACGGGCCGTATTAAACATATTTAAATTAACGAAGTGAGTGAGGGGAGGAGAAGACACGAGTGAGTTAGCAGACATTGACACATTTAAACGGTTAACTTAACGGAAGTTATATATTGATATCGAAGAGGTGGAGAAGAAAAACCCATAGAGAGAAAAAGAGAGAAGGAAGTCATGAGAGAAGGTGTCATTTATTTTCTTTATAAAAAAAAAAGGCTAGAAACAGACGCTGTTATTTTGTTTTACTTTGAAAGTGTTATTTTGGGAGTTCATAAAGATTATAATGTTTGATATAAATTTGAATGTCTCTAAACTGTCTAAAATAATTTAATTTGATGTTTGTTAGTGATTTAAATTTTTTTAAATTCTGGGGATTTTCTATGAAATAGTCGATTAGAAAAATATTTATAGAAAGTACATTAAAAGAATAAAATTTTATTTTAAAATATAAGTTTACTTCTAGTAATCTTTTTTTTAATCTCTTTAAAAATTTTATTATTGATTATTAAGTTGACATCTCTATCCGTTTGAATTTTGTTCATGAATTTAACTCGTGACTGTTTCTAGATAGGTAATCTCTTTTACTTAAATTTTAGTTAAGTTAATATGGGGTAATATTTGAAGGTAATATTAAAGATCTTGCCCTGTCATATACTGTATACACACCCATGCAAATATCACATATACACACGTTTCTTTACATGTGCAATCACTCATACAGGTACCCATGTACCGATATACACAGGTAACTTCATGTATTAACAGCGACCTATATATCAAAACTTTTTCCAATTTAAATATTTCATCATCAATAATGATTATTAAAGGGTAATATAATTCAATTTAAATTAAATTATCAATTTAAAAAAAATCCTCCCTATTATAAAGAATTTTAAACTCACACTTCCAATGAGAAAATGAGATAAAACACTAATAACAGGATTGTAAGTCCTTCTTTTATAATATTCTATGTATCCATAAATATACACATACACACATATACACATATCCGTACACATACACACAAACATATACATATATATCATTATATATACATATATTCACATACACATATATGTGTCTATATACTCATACAGACACACATACATTAAGAAATGGACAAGGTCCGACAATTTATTTATTAAAGACATATTTTATGTTTAACGTTGTTATTTTATAGATACAAGTATTTAAGCAAATGCTCTGTTTATGATAAACAGTATTAAATAACATTTACCGGCCTGAATGTCCGAGAAATTTTCATAGAAAATTTTCGTTCTTTGACTTTTGCATCCTATACGGAACCGTCATATACGCTGACGTGCCTTACCGCTTAGGCTACAAAGAAGCGTTCGGTAGACAAGGTCGAATTTACTGCTTATAAACTCCAATTTTCCATGAATCTCGTACATTCATAACTGCTCTGGCGTATCAAATGTAAACAAATGACGTCATATATTAAGAAATGGACAAGGTCCGACAATTTATTTATTAAAGACATATTTTATGTTTAACGTTGTTATTTCTCGGACATTCAGGCCGGTAAATGTTATTTAATACTGTTTATCATAAACAGAGCATTTGCTTAAATACTTGTATCTATAAAATAACAACGTTAAACATAAAATATGTCTTTAATAAATACACACATACATATGTAGATATACACACACATACATACATACATAAGTACATATACACACACATATGCCCACATATATACACCCATATATATATAAACATACGTATACACATATATACATATACATATACACATACACATATATACATATACATATACACATATACACACACATATACATATACACATATATACACATACACACAAATATATACATATATATATATACACCCACATGTGCGTGCATGCAAAAAACATATTAAAATCCATACTTAATTACATTATTGTATCTATATTCTCCCATATTATATATACGAACTCACAAATTCATATATGTATACATACATACATACACTATCTATGGAACGACATATATGCACTCATCTATATATATATATATATATATATATCTCTCTCTCTCTCTCTATCTCTCTCCCTCTCTCTCTCTCTCTCTCTATATATATATATATATAATATATATATATATATATATATATATATGTACCCATCTATATATATATATATATATATATATATATATATATATATATATATATATATATATATATATGCATGTTTCATTACAAACGACAGACATGGTACTACGGTTAAACTTTATTATTTAATTTTTCATGTGTTCTAATAAGAGCTTTCTTTTTCTGGACAAAGGGTGTGTAAGAACTGTCCGAATGTTTTATATTTCCAAGCGCTTTCGGCTATACCTTTAGCCATTATCAAGGATGATTCGATTTTTCAGCTTGAGTGAGTGCGTTCTGTGTATGTTTTAGTGTGTGGTAGGGATGTTTTTAATTTCCGAATACGGTTAGCACATTGTGGCTTTGTTCGAAGTTAATATTGTTAAGAGTTGGCTTTTTCATTTTTATTATTAAAGCTTCCATTATTTTTAGTCTTTTTTGCAGGCGGATGCAGTTAATATATTTGTGTTTTCTACTAGTATGTTTCTAATGGAGTCTGGTAAATTTGTGTGTGTGCTTAAATGGGTTCTAATGGAACTGTGATCAGATAGGTGTAATGTAAGACGTCTGGATAAGCATGTGGTTGTGTAACCGATGTAATTATTTATGAGTCCGGTTTGATCAGAAACACAGTTCCTTAAGTGGCATTTGAACTCAGATAATGTTCGTTCTTTGCAACTTTGACTTCGTTGGTGTGTTGTTATTTTTGAGGATTAGGTCTTAAATTTTTTATAATAGATAATAAGTTTGAATTTTTTTATTCGGATCAATTGGAGTAGTATATTTCTTTATAATATGCCTTAGAGAAGATTCGTCTTGTTTGTAATTAATATGCATTTGGTTTTTGTAATAAATGTGTATGTGATTTTTGGCTTTTTATCTCTTGTTAGAACACAAGAAAAGTTCTTGTTAAAACACAAGAAAAACTGTTGTTAGAACACAAGAAAAATTAAATAAAAAGCTTAACCGTACTACCGTGTCTGTCGTTTTTAATGAAACATGCATAAAGGAAGGATTGCTGCCTAAATATACAACTATATATATATATATATATATATACACGCATATATATACATATATACACGCATGCACACATAAATATATATATATACATAGGGAAACCTTAACGGGGTGTAATGGTTTGTACGCTTGTCTTGCTAGAACAATTACAACTGAGTAGTGAGTTCGATTCTCACTGGGTGCTCCATACTTTCGGCTTTGCGCCACACTTAAGCTACTCTTAGAAAATCGACATAGATAGATAGACATACGGGGATGTAATTATCTAACATCTATGTTATCCGCATCCCGTTGTAAATATAACAATTAATCGAGGGAAATGCTTTTATGTTAAAAATATGTTCATGTCTGTGTTTTGGCCCGGTTAGTAACGACGGAACTTTTTAACGCTGAGTCAGTGTTCATAGTCTCAACTTGTGCCTATTAGTTGCGCTTGGTAGCAACAACGGAGCGTTCTGCTTATTCGTGCTCTCACATATAATCAACGCTTCGTTCGTTTCGTGGCAACAAAGATAATTTTGAGAATAAATTTGCAGACACAAACGTGTGAGCATTCAACAGGAAAATCACAGCAGCATATACTTACACACGATTACACATATCCGTTTGTAAACGCAATGTTTGATGAAAACATGGCCGCTCGAAGATCTGCCTATATACAAAAAGTGCATGAGAATTGGTCACACAGATCAGGGTCCTAAGCAGAAATTTCGATGAAATTTGTTTGGGATCCTAAAAAAAAACAAAAAAAACTAGTATTGAAAGTTTTATATGTCAGCCTGATAAAAAAAATTCTTGTCTGACTAGCTTAAACGCAAAAATATAAATCTATAATCTCTTGAATATATTTCTTAATATAATCAATAAATTAAAGATTGAAATCTATAATTTATTGTTTTTTACGGTTTCTCAACCAATTGCAGGTTATGTAAAGCTAGAAAAATATTTCTAGTTTGAACAAATTTTTGAGATAATAATGATTTACTGATTCAAATTCTACTAATTAATCCATGACTGGTGGGATGTGGAGGTTTATACCATTCCCAAATGTGCTTGCGCGTAAATGAACATAACAAACCCGACTGGAATTGAAACTTGGCTCTAATTCCTAGCCGTTACCCATTACACCACCCGCACATCCAAGTTTACAGCACCTGATATTCTCAAGCAATGACCCATCAATAACATGTATATTACTCAAACATGCTTCATTGAGTAATATAGACATATTGTATCTACTTATTTTTATACTGTCCCTTTCCAGTTGTCTAGTCAATTTCTTAGTGTTAAGATGAAATTCCTAGGGTTTTTTTTTAACTCAAGTACTTTCGATCTTTTCCAAGGTCATCATCAGGGGTAAATTACAAAGACAAACTTATTGTAACTACGATAAAATCTTCATTCCGTTGTGATGGTGATTTGAAAAACACGCACAAATGCGATCTGTAGGAATCGTTTGAGAATTTTTACATTTATCCGTTGTAGTGATGGATTTTTTTTTACAAAACAAGCGTTTCTATATATGGGAACTGACCGGGAATTGGTAGAAATGTACAAATAAATAGTGAGAACACTTATTAGTTATAAAAGGAAAAACTGGTCAATATTGAAGATTTTACGTATAGTATTAGAAATTGGTTTCAATATTACATAAATTTCAGAAATCAAATTAGTATGTAAAATCTTGCGTATAAATATTAAATAAAATAAAGTAATAAGTAAATTTATTCTTAAATAATTAGCTATAGAAGATATTGTTCTCTTTAGAAAAAAAATTGATTAAAAACTTAATCAGCAGACGATTTCGATGTAAAAAATTATAACTTCTGCCTTTATACAATTTTGAAGAAGTGGTCAAGAAGAAGAAGAACAAAAAAAGAATCTGAGAGGAAAGAAAAAACGAAAGAAGTGAAAGTTAACTATAATAGCAAGGAAGTGAGAAGCAATAAGTGAAGGAGAAGCGACTCAGAAGGAGGAGAATAGGGAAAAAAAAGGAACAGGGTATTAATAAAAAAAATAATGACAGGGAGGAGAAAGGTCGAAAGAGAAGAAAGAAAGAAAGAAAGAAAGAAAGAAAGAAAGAAAGAAAGAAAGAAAGAAAGAAAGAAAGAAAGAAAGAAAGAAAAGAAAAGAAAAGAAAGAAGGAAAGAAAAGAAAGGAAAGAAAGAAAGAAAGAAAGAAAGGAAAGAAAGAAAGAAAGAAAGAAAAGAAAGAAAAAAGAAAGAAAGAAAAAGAAAGAAAAAAGAAAGAAAGAATAGTAGCTGTGGAAATATAAAGACTCATAGAAAGAAAGAAAGAAAGAAAGAAAGAAAGAAAGAAAGAAAAGCTAATCGCCCTTTTTACTTCCGACGTAAACCCAAAAAGGAAATTGGGTTTGTTTTGATTTGCTGTTGGCTCTGTCTCCCTTTTAGGATGATGAATGCGTATATCTTCCGGAGCGCGAAAATTAAATTTGTCTTTTCCTTTTATTCTTTTGATGGTGGGTCCCCTGGCTGAAATAAAACAAGAGAATTTTCGCACGTGATTTTTTTTTTCCTGCAAGCCAGTCGAATTCATGAAACGAGAAGAATATTTAAACTGACTGTATCTCTTAGACCGAAAAAAGACAGGAAAATCAAATGAACTCAACAAGAGTAATCTTCGTTCCAGGAATTGAAAAGGCAGACGAGATTCAACCAGATTTCGATTTTTCCTATCTAAAAGAATAGAATGATTTTCAACAATATACGAACTGTATATTCAAAAGATTATATATTCGGTTCATTAAGAACATAATTTAAGAAGTCAAGAATTTAAATTACCATTTTGGGTGTATCTGCTCATTTCAGAGCCAAATTATACGTTCATTCTGGTACGATGTATATCAAATACGGCGTGTCCATAAAGTTCGTGTGCACATTAAAAAATTTATAACTTTATTTGTATTTGCGATAGAAATAATCTGTAAAAATGTTATAAAGTTTAATGTACCTAGTTTTAAGTATAGCTAAAATAACTAATGTGATTTCAGGCATTACTGTAAATCAGTTGGTAAATGTTTCCCGTGAACTGCAAAATCGTATTATCCTTTGTATTGCTAATGACAGAGGACATGTGGAAACTTAAATAAAATTTCAATAAAACCTTAAAAAATATAAATTTGCAAATTATTACTATCGCAAATACAAATAAAGTTATAAATTTTTTAATGTGCACACGGACTTTATGGACCCACTGTAGTTCATTGCGAAATTAAAAGGTATGAACAGTCCTAGAATTGAACTATTTGAGTTAAAGGTTGTATTAATAATGCTTTTAATAAGGGCTGATATTTCTGTGGAAGTTTCGAATTATTTTCCTTTCTTTTAAAAGAACACGCTAAAAGAAGGTAAATTCAAGAAAAGCCATTTAAAATAAAATAAATATTTAGTCAAACATTGTTAATGGTCTGCGAACTGATAGATTAATCAATTATTTAATTTTTCTTATTCATATATCCCTCAGTTTTCAATATCCCCCCCAAAAAACAAAAAACATGACAGGTAAAAACAATACAATTTCTACGATATTCTTTCTTAGAAGGATTGCGTATTTTTTCAACAGCGCTATTTTCAACGACTTTGAAAAATAACGGGATTTACAGATGGGCCAATAAATTATTCTTAAATTTCACAGCAAAGATAAACGAATGTAAACTTTTAATTTTTTTATGACAATTATTTTTGTTACTAGGACTAGTGATGGCGAAAAAAAAAAAATTAATATAAATACTCTCTAGTGTAGTGATGTTTTGTTTCGTTGAGCGGCTGTTTTTCCAAGTTTTTTTTTAACGCATATGAAATTTTGTTATTTTTACTATTTTAGCGTAAGCATGAATTTTTTCGTATTATTATTATTTAATTTATTTGGTTCTCCTTTAAATAATACTGATAGATTAATCAATTATTTAATTTTTCTCATTCACATATCCCTTAGTTTTCAATATCCACCCCGCAAAAAAAACATTACAGGTAAAAAATACAATTTCTACGATGTTCTTTCTTAGAAGGATTGCATTTTTTTTTTTTTTTTTTTTTAAAACAACGCTATTTTACATATTACATTTTATGAATTTATGAAAAGAAAATGCAATCTTTCTAAGAAGGAATATCGTGGAATTTACAGATGGGCCAATAAATTATTTTTAAATTTCACAGCAAAGACAAAAGAATGTAAACTTTTTTTTTTTTTTTTTTTTTTTTTTTTTTTTAAACAACGCTATTTTCAACGACTTTAAAAAATAACGGAATTTACATTTACATATTACATTTTATGAATTTATGAAAAAGAAAATGCAATCTTTCTAAGAAGGAATATCGTGGAATTTACAGATGGGCCAATAAATTATTTTTAAATTTCACAGCAAAACACAAACGAAAATAAAAAACTTTTTTTTTTTTTTTTTTTTTTTTTTTTTTTAAACAACGCTTTTTTCAACGACTTTAAAAAATAACAAAATTTACATTTACATATTACATTTTATGAATTTATGAAAAGAAAATGCAATCTTTTCTAAGAAGGAATATCGTGGAATTTACAGATGGGCACAATAAATTATTTTAAATTTCACAGCAAATTCTTCTCTCCGAATGTAAAATTTTTTTTTTTTTTTTTTTTTTAAACAACGCTATTTTTCAACGACTTTTCTTGCAAATAACGGAATTTTCATTTACATATTACATTTTATGAATTTATGAAAAGAAAATGCAATCTTTCTAAGAAGGAATATCGTCGTCCGAATTTACAGATGGGCCCAATAAATTATTTTTTAAATTTCACAGCAAAGACAAACGAATGTAAAATTTTTTTTTTTTTTTTTTTCAACAACGCTATTTTTTCTGTCTTCGACTTTAAAAAATAACGGAATTTACATTTACATATTACATTTTATGAATTTATGAAAAGAAAATGCAATCTTTCTAAGAAGGAATATAGTGGAATTTACAGATGGGCCAATAAATTATTTTTAAATTTCACAGCAAAGACAAACGAATGTAAAAACCGGGGTGGGTTTTTTTTTTTTTTTAAACAACGCTATTTTCAACGACTTTAAAAAATAACGGAATTTACATTTACATATTACATTTTATGAATTTATGAAAAGAAAATGCAATCTTTTCTAAGAAGGAATATCGTGGTGATTTCAACCAATGGGCCAATAAATTATTTTTAAATTTCACAGCAAAGACAAACGAATGTAAACTTTTTTTTTTTTTTTTTTTTTTTTTTTTTTTTTTTTAACCAGCGTCATTCTCTTTGATTTCCAATCGTGTCTCTGTCTATTGTTGGCTTGGTTACCCATTTAGGAGAAAAAAAAAATCCGAACAACAACCCGCAACTCAAAATGTTAATCGTGCCGAGGAGTGAATGGCTACTGCGTTATGAGGTCGCGAACGATCCCTTTTTCAGGCTTCGGAACCCTGTCTGTAAAAGACCGTTACTCAACGTGCCGGGCAACTTTGGGTGGACTTTTGGACCCGTGCGTCACTCGTGGGATTAATATGAAAATTAAAAATAGAAACAAAACGTCCAATATGGCTCTTCCAGTGGATAAACAGGGACACTTCCTTCAGGAGGGAACCTACCTGAGGTCGAAAAATCTGCCATAAAAACAAACTCCTACACAAAGAATGAATCTTCAGGTCCCCTGACCAACATCTGATAATCCTAATGATGGTCCTGTAAATTCTCCAGCTAGATCCATAACCGTAAATTTAAGGAAAAAAAAAAAAAATGGTCTCGTGAGGAGTACCTAGTTACCATCAACTGCATTCCATGAAGCGTTACTCAAACCTTTCAGAACATCACTTCCAAACATTTGACATTTGGCTTCTTTCCTTAGGAAACAATTAGAAATTACATAGACAAAAATAAACTAGCCAATGTTTTAAAAAGGGACATCATGTTTAATAAACTGATTGACAAAGGCTAACTCAAATTAATGAAATAAAAAGAAATGCAACAAGAATAGATGAACCAACAAAACATGAAAAGGAACCGGAATCAACGAAAAAAAGTATTTACATCACACAAGCCTCAGGTCATAAAAAGAAAAACCTTTCTGATACACACAAATCACTGGAAGATAATGCTGAAAATTTTTAAATGTTGGAAAGGTATGATCTTAAATTTTTTAAAAGACGCTAATAAAACGAGTTTAAAAAATTCATCGAACAGAATTATTTCACAGAAAACAAGATTAAAATACAAGAAGCCAAGGATGAAATCATGAGCCATATAAGATGGGCCATACAGAATTTTGCAATGGAGGAACGAGAAACAACTCCCAAAATTACAACCAACAAAGCATAACCTCAAAACTATTAAGCTCTATAATGCAGCACTCAAATTGATTCTGGATGAAGAAGACACTCATATAAATCTCAATGAAGCAATATATGCATCAGCAATAGCAGCAACAAATAAACTGAACATCAAAGTAAAAAAAAGGCAGTCTTTTTTTTTTTTTTTTCCACCTTGAAAAGAAAAATAGAAAAAATAAATTGAACACCTTAGAAGTTTATGAATTATCAGTACTCGATGAACTAGCAAGAGGAGTAAATGGAAGAACTAGAAAAGGCAGAAGAGTCGAAAGAAAATACAATATCAAACGAATGAAAATGAAGTCCTATCAACTAAAGAAAAAATAAAGCAAACAATACAACTGAAGGCTCAAAGAATAAAATGCAATCTTTCGAGAAAAGATCAAGATTCTATAGACAGAACAAGATCTTTTTTAAATTTCCGATGCAAAGAAATTTTACAGGGAAATTTTTTTTTTTTTTTACAAAGAATTGAAACGACAGTCCCCCTAAATGGAAGAATTATACAGTTCTGGGGAAAAATTTGGGCTTGCCCTAAAATGAACACAACGAAGAGGCAGATTGGATTGCGCAAGAGTTAGAACGAATGAAAAATAAACCAGAACAGACATGGGCAAATCACAGAAGAAGATGTTAAATTTTTTTTTTTTTTAAAGCACACAACTGAAATCTCCAGGAATAGAAAAATTCTAACTTCTTGCTATATTATTTAAATACAGCAAACAAAAACAACCCGCCAAAGAACTTCAAGAAATGGTTACCGATCCAACTAAAATTCCTGCATGGATGACCAAAGGAGTTACCTTTCTTCTACCCAAAAATAGTGACACAAATATTCCGAAAAAAACTATAGACCAAAACAGGGACCCGTCTTCCAACAACATACAAACTGTTAACATCTATTTTAACAAAACAGACATATTTCTTCTTGGAAAGAAATGACATACTACCACTTGAACAAAAGGGTGCAAAAACGGCTGCTACGGATGTAAAGACCAATTACTTATTAATAGGATGATCCTGGAAAACTGCTTCCGTGGAAAAAAAAAAACTTAGTATTGCCTGGATAGATTATCGTAAAAGCATTCGATAGTGTACCACATTCCTGGATCTTAAAGTCTTTAAAATAAAAAGTATTGCAAGGTATCACCCGTTATCATCAATTTCATCAAACAATGTATGTCGATATGGAAAACTACACTTTACCTCAATCAT